GGGCAGAATTCAGAACATTTCAAATGCTTTTGGAGCCTTCTTGGTTCTGCTAAAACTAAAGAAAACAAGACCCTCAGATGTCTGAGATATAATGATAGGGCCCTCAGTCCCTGGGGAAAAGCAGAACCATATACTTGGCGACCTGATGAAAGCCACCTCTCCTGTAAACTATGGGGACACAGAGGCCAGGTACCAGCAGGGCCAGGAAAGCTTTGGGCTCAGAGGGCACATGGGCTCTGGTCCCTTCCCTTTTGAGGTTCAGCATCATCAGAATCTTTCTAGAGGAAAGGAGATATCCTTGCCCAAGCAGTGCTGTAGCCTTGAAACAAAAGGAAAATCTTGCTCTATGCAACCACGTGGATGAACCTGAAGACTATGCTAAGTCAACTGGGCCAGTCACAGAAGGAACAGTGCTGCATGATTCCACTTGCATGAGGCATCTAAGATGGTCAAATGCATGGCCATGGAGAAGAGAATTGTGGGTGCCGGGGGCTGAGGGGAGGGGAAGTGGGGAGTTCCTGATCAATGGGGATAAAGTTTCCATTATGAAAGGTAAGTTCTAGAGATTGGCTGTACAACGTCCTGCCTACAGACAACAATAATGCATTGTGCACTTAAAAATCTGCTAAGAGAGGGTAGATCTCAAGTTAAGTGTTCTTACAATAGGAAGGAAGAATGGAGGGAGGGAGGGAGGGGAGGAAGGAAGGAAGGAAGGAAGGAAGGAAGGAAGGAAGGAAGGAAGGAAGGAAGGAAAAGAGGAAAGGGGGGAGGGAGGGAAGGGGAAAGGGCTGGCCAGCAAACAAATACACTATTCAGTTCCACAACAATGCACTGCCAGGAAAGAGAGCGCCTGGGAATACAATGTGTGCAAGTTGGAGGGCTGCTTCTGGCTGGAACCCCTCAGCCCCCAGGCCCCAGGGCAAAGGTCATGCTTTGAGAAACGGGGGCTACAGCTGAGTATGGACTAAGAATTGTTACTCTGGAGCCCAAGGATGCAGCAACTCTGCTGCAAATGCAGAGAAGGGCCAAGAAGGGTTCAGCCACTGACCCACCAAGCATCCTCCTGGCTGCTTCCAACACTGACACCGCACCGTTCATGGGTTTTGGCCTATAACATTGTCATTCTCACATGAAAACTGGAGGGGCCATGCTCCAGAGGAAGACGCTAGACATCTTGGCAATAAAAAATAGCAGCGTGCTGGCCCGGTGGCTCAGCTGGTTGGAGTGTCATACCATGTACCATGGATTCGATTCCCGGTCAGGGCACATACCTGGGTTGTAAGTTCGATCCCCATTTGGGTTGAATACCAGAGGCAACTAATTGATGTTTCTCTTTCACATCAATGTTTCTCTCTCCCTCTCTCTCTCTCCCTTCCTCCCTCTCTAAACATCATAAAACATATCCTTGTATAAGGATTAAGTTAAAAAAAAAATAGCTGAGACATCTGAGTGATTCATTAGACAAATAAAAGAGATATGAACATATTTGCAGCACCCCGAGCCAGGGCTCAAGGGCTGCGCTTATATTGAATATCCGAGTTCGGGGGAAACGAGGTAAGGCATAGGTTTAAATTATGTATAGATAGCAACACGTATCAGGAATAAAGGTTTATGCTTCCTTTATGGCCACACTCAGCCCTGACATCTTTGCAGGCACTAAGAAAGCAACCAGAAGAACAGCGGCAAGGGAGACACTGTGCTTCAGGGGAGGAATGGGAAGCTTTTAAATTCCATCACCCCCTTCTAATAATACCTCCGCGCCTGCTTTTCTCCAGACAAGCTCTGAGGCCCGGCCCATCACGCTCTCCGGCTCCCCAAACACCTCACGAGGAAAGGAGTCTGTCAGCTTCCCTAAAAGGGAGCGAAGAAAGCAGCACGAGTCAAAAGGAAAAGCTAAGGTTGCATCTCCTCCGTTTGAAGGCACCAGGCAGGAGAGAGACAGGCACGGTCAGACCCTCGGGGAAGCACGCCTGTGTGCTGAGAGCCGGGAAACATGAAGTGCGGCAAGTTTTAATGAGCCTGAGCAGCTCTCTGATAGTCACTGGCGTGGAGATGGAAATGGAGCATTTGCAAGTGTGAGCTTTCGAAGAATGTGGTTTTTAGGAAGTGATGTTCCCTCCTGCCATCCTTTCGGCTTTGGGCGATGCAAGTTAACCCTGAAATCATCCCTTCAGCGGCACCCCTCCCTCTGGATGGGGCTGGGTCAGGGCGCCTGAAGGTAAAACCCCAGGGAAGCCCAGCTCCAGGGGGACCTGCTGCTGCTGGCAGGGATCTCACCGAGATGGATTGAAGGGGGGATGGGATAAAGGATAAAATTAAAGACAAGATGAATAAAATCTGATCGAAGCAAACACTGCAAGGCTACCTAGCAGCTTAAATTACATTGACCACAACCAACAGGGAGGGGGTAATCAGGAGTCTGAAGTCCCGGCTCTGGAAAGAAATCATGGGCTAAATGACGACAGGTAACAGGGAAGTCCTGGATTCCCCTTCTCGGGGAAGACTCAAGATAGGATATGAAACCCATCAATCACACCAAGGCCAATTTCACCTGGTAGGGCCCCCAATCGTCCAGGATCCGGTTCCTCCTCCAGCCAGAGATGAGGCAGCAGCACAAAGACCGCCCCCAGCCAACCTTCCAGTCCCGCTGACCTTCGCCCCTCTGCAGGGTGGCCACTGTCACGTCCCCGCCTTAGGGTGGCCAGCCAGGCGGTTATCAGGCCAGGGCTGCCCCTTGTTCATTTCTGCCCCATCAGCCGCGGCCACTATCCTATCAGGGCTATCTCTCCACACACACGGTCCCTGGAACCTTCCTACCAGGTCAGTCTGAGCCCCTAAAACAGCACCCAAATCACCCCATTATCTGCAGGTTCCTCTTGCCAACTCCCCAAAACACCCCAAGTTCCCAAGCTCCCCGCTCTTTCTCACTACAGCTTAGCGGGAAAGCAATCTGATTTGATAAATTCACACCAACCCGCTGAGGAGTCTCTGTTTTTGGAGGAGCAGGCCAGGTACTGCCAATGCAGCCCTCAGGGTGGGCTTCCAGCCCGTGCAGGGGACGTCGGGGACCTCCCCCAGACTTTGTGTGCAAGATGAAAAGGCTCCCCCCTCCCCTCCACTGCCTCCCAGCATTGCCCCTTGGGCGAAAGGCGCACCCACTGCTCCCTACACAGCTGCTTGGAGCCACCAGGGAACAGGGTAACAACTGTAGGGGCAGAGAGAGCTGTCTGGCTCCAAGCCAAGGGAGACCCTGGGAACCCAGTCCTGCTCCTAGAAGAGGGAGCCCTTCTGTTCATAGACTGAACTTGGCCCAGGAACTTGGGTTTCAGACCCAAGGTCTCCAGAAGAGGAGTCTCCTGGACTCTCTGCTCCATGACATCCTACACCTGAGCAAGTTCCTGCCTGTTCCACCCCCCATCCCTCCCCCGTGTCCTGCTCCTCACCATGTCTATCTCCTGTGGCACGGTGGGGGTTTGGGGGGTAGTTCTATGGCTCCCTGGTTGACTGGCTTCCCAGGTCAGAGCTGTGGGGGGGCCCTGCCTCTTTCAGCGTAGACATCCAGACCCCAGCTGGCAACTAAGAGGGACTCAATGGAATGGGGTGTGGAAGGGAGGAAGAGTCCTTGGGGAAGCTGCTCTGTAGAAACACCTGACTCCTCCCCCAAGACCCACGTGGTCACCTGAGCTCTGCCTCATGTAGCTGGTCACCTGCTTCCAATTTAAAAAATAATAATAAAAGAAGAGGGACATGACTCTGAAAATCTTCAGCATGCGACGGTTCTGCTTCTCTTTTGCTTTGGTCCCTCTTACAGCGAGTTTAAGGAAAGACGGGGGGGGGGGGGGTGTCCAATTCTACCAAAATGAAATAATTAACCAGAAACTCAGTTCACCAGCATCCTCAAAGTATCAGTCTTCCCTTTCCTGCTCTTTAGAACTGGGGCATCGGTAAGAAACCAGGCACATCGCACACCCTCACGCACCTGTCCACTGTGAGCATCTGCTGGGTGCAGGCGATTTTGTCAGAGGCGGTGTTGGAGGGCTCATGGCTCTACGCTGGGGACAGAGCCCAGGTGTTGCCAATGGGATGCCCCCTCTGAACCTCCAGCCCTGCACCGGCCTTCGCACCTGAGTGTGGCACCAGCATCGCCTGAGGCTGCAAAGGCAAGTCTCTGCTTCCAAAATCTACTTGCTCCATGAGCAGCAGAACTCAATCCTAAACTCTGGAAGGACACACATCACGCTGCTGATAGAGACCACTGGGGGCGAGTGAGAGTAGCGAGAAAGAGACCTTCTCTCTCCCTCTACCTATTCTCTATTGCTTCCAAAACAAAGCAACCACAAAAACAGAGGCCATCTTCAGGCACTCCTTCAAACATCAAAGCAGGAAATGGCCCAAAGGACAAAGGAAGCGACGGTTTTCAACACCAGGGCCCAGCTTAGCACGTGTCTGATGGAGGCGGAACCTGGGAGCATGGCCGAGCAGGAAGAGGCCTGCTCCTTCAGCCCACATCGATGACGGGTGGCCCAGAACAGACTCAGGGATCCTGGAACTCTCTTCAGGGTTCAGACGCAGCTCAAACCCTCTCACTCTGGTCTCCCCAGTGTTCCGACCTCGATGGCCATGAGCCTCCGTATCTCCAGCCCACCCCTCCCCTGACTTACTTAATCCCTGGGGACTCCTGGCAGCTTCTCAGGGCTGTGGAGTGGGCATGTGCCTTCAGGCTCACCTGGCTCGGGGGCCCCTCCCTGTTTGCTAAGCACAGTGGTATTTGCCTCATTCCCGTAGCTCCCCCAGGGTAAACTGGGAACCTTCCCAGCACAGCAATCACCTGACCGGCTTTTGAAGGACCATGTGTCAGACACAGGGGTCAGTTCCTGGCCAATCTCTCCAATGCCTGCCCGGCCCTCCCCTCGCTCGAGCTCGGCCATAGCCACAGCCACAGCCGCAGCGGTCCTCCCTGCCACCTCATTCATCTCCCGGCCGGCCGCCCCGCCACCTACCTGCAGATGTAATTTGTCTTGCAGGAGTCCTGCAGGTTCAAACAGTTGGGCTTCTCCCTCTCCTCGTAGGAGCACACGGGCACGATGGTCTGCCGCCGCCGCTCGGTGCAGGCGATGTCCCTGCAGGAGCAGAAGAGCATCCCGTAGCTGTGCTTGGCCGGCACCTTGTCGAAGAACTGCCTCAGGGCCTTGTGGCACTTGCGCCGGTTGCAGACCTCGTTGGACATGCTGGTGGTGCACGGGGTGATGTAGGCGGACCTGTACTTCTTGCAGGTGTCGTCCAGGTTGCAGGCCTTGGCGGCGTCCAGGCAGTTGTTCCCTTTGGGGATGTGCTCCACTGCGGAGGGAGAGAAAGGCGGGCGTGAGCACCTTGCGGGGAGCCTGGCTGCCCCGCTTGAATTAAAGCACCTCCTGGGTTTTCGGGGAGACCTTGCGTTTACCAGGCGGTGCGTGGAGCTCTCTGGTCGGCTCTGTGTTGGGAAGCTAACAACTTAAAGAGTTCGGGACCAGGAGCAGGTACGAAGCGTGCGGACGCTGGGAGCCCACCGCGGACCGCCAGCTCCCAGCACTCTCTTTGCCGTGTAATCAGGAGGCATTGAGAGAGGCCGGAGGAGCTGGCGCACCTGCCCAATTACAGTAAACAAGGCAAGAGGAGGAGAAGTTTCCAACTCCTGGTTGGTAAACCGAAATCAGGATAAAAGGGAAAAGCAACAAATTATACACTTGTTCATTACACAGTATATAAAATGATATGCTGAATCTAAGTATAATTGCCATGCAATCCCCCAGGAACATAATTATGTAATAAATGCATATAGTACATGCTAATTACTATATGATTACCGAGTAATTACGTGGTTATTTGAGCCCAGAAGACAAAATATTATGCTAGGCTCTCTAAACAGGAAGAAACACCACTACAGAGAAGCTGTATTTAAGTTCTAGCTCACAGGCCATGGGAAGAAAACCAGAATAAATTACCTCAAAACGTACAAACCTCAATTACCACCTACAGAACTCCTCGAGCGGGCTCCTCGAGCACTGAGGCTGCAGATTAGGAAAACCTGGCTGGTATGTTGGATGGGATTTCAATGGGCTTACAAACCACAGGCCTTTGTAGTCTCACAAAATGAATGCTGCCTTCTTCCCAAGCCCTCTGCTCCCAGGCACCAGGGCTGCCTGCTGCTGGGCTGCCCGCCGTGTGGCCTGCAGAGAGAGCCTGGTGGAGGCAGGGCCCACCAGGGTGATGGCTGGTGGGCTGACAGGGCCACGCCCAATGGGTAAAGTTCGAAGATGAGTGGACAGCCCAGCTGGTGTGGCTCGGTGGTTGAGCATCGACCTATGAACCAGGAGGTCACCGTTCGAGTCCCAGTCAGGGCACATGCCCGGGTTTTGCAGGCTCAATACCCGGTAGGGGGCGTGCTAGAGGCAGCCAATCAAAGATTCTCTCTCATCACTGATGTTTCTATCTCCCCCTCTCCCTTTCTCTCTTAAATCAATAGAAATATATATTTTTTTAAAAAGATGAGTGGACAAGGGAAATTAAGCTCAGTCACCATGATACAGGGGTTTCCATGTGGAGAGGAAGTGGTGGGAAACATTCCAGTGCCTAATTATAAGGTGGTCCATGGAAAATCGATACTAAGGTGTAATAGCAGCCCTCAGGAAACAGCAGGGGGGCAGCAAAGCACCACACAGTTGTGGGATTTGACCCCCCAGCTAGTTCCTGCTCAGGCCTCAGCCCTTCCTTGCATTCGGGAACCTTCTTTCATTCCCTTTATGATCCAGTCAACAGGGACCATGAAGATATCTGGGAAATGACAAGAGAATTGGCAACAGAGGAGAAAGAGTCCAGGAGGGTTGGGTGGGACTACGATGGAGCCCTGCATCTAGTGTACATCTGAAGAGCACATGGAATTCTAAGCATCCTTAAAAAAGAAGGAAATCCTGCTGTACGCGATACCAGAAACGAGCCTTGAGGACGTTACGCTAAGTGAAATGAAGCAGCGGATAGAACAGTAGTTGCCAGAGGCTGGGGTGGGGGAGGGGAAATGGGGAGTTACTATGGAAAAGGTATAAAATCTCAGTTATGCAAGACCTGAGGATCGGCTGCATGACATCGTTCCTATACTTAACCATCTGATACTGTGCACTTAAAAACCTGTGAAGAGAGAGTATCTCATGTTAAATGTTCTCACTACAATGAAAAAAGGGTCTAAGTAAGGGAGTAAGTAAAGGACACACACAGCAAGCCCAACACTCGTCTCCCCGTTGTACTGACAATGTGACTTGCTTTAAGAAAACCCGAAATGCAAAAACCTGAAAACAGAGGTGTACCCTGGCACCATGGGCAGTACTTTACTACGCTCCGGGTTCCTGTCTCCGCCCGTGACATCCGATGCCAACCACTGACTGTGGGAAGCAATAAGCAAGACATTCAGCCCCTTCCACGTGAGCCAAGCTGCACAGGAAACCAGCAGCGGCGTGGGCGTCCCTTGATGGTTTAACAAGCACACCTGGTGCATGTTCTCCATCGTGACCTCCCCGAACCGGTCTCTCCCTGGGTCCTCCGTTTTCACACTCAGGACTGAAAGGTTCACCAGGTGCCCTGACAAGATCACGAGGACCTCTGGGTCTTGGTGTCACTTCTAGCCGTGTCCTCTTTTGAGACTTATGCTGTGCTGTTGGGCCCATGAGCAACAGTGATTTCTATTCTTTTTTTTTTTTTTTTTTAAGAATATGTTTTTATTAATTTCAGAGAGGAAGGGGGAGGGAAGGAGAGGTAGAAACATCAGTGATGAGAGAATCATTGATCAGCTGCTTCCTGCACGCCCCCCACTGGGGACCAAGCCTGCAACCTGGGCATGTGCTCTGACCAGTGCTTGAACCGTGACCTCCTGGTTCATAAGTCAATGTTCATCCACTGAGCCACACAAGCTGAGTATATATTCTTCAACGTCTACAGTTTGCTAGATTTCTAAATTATCCATTTTTATTATAACCTAAAATAAATTAATATATCCAAACTATACATAAGCTAGATTAGGCCTATAAGGCTGGATGTTGGTACACAATTTGCTGCGTGCAACTTATACTGTGTACACTCTATAGAAAGAAAAGAATAGAGGCACAGAGTGAAGTTAACACTTAAATGATGTAGCCAGTGACATGAATAAGCAGTTCATGTGCATTTAAATGGAGAAAAATGGCAGATGAATTAAGTCGTCGCATAGCGCCCAGTTAGATAAGCCTGCCAACCCAAAAGAATTCATGCTGAAACAGGGTACCACCTACTGAGCATAAGCACCAATCTAGCTTCAGAAAACAGTATCATCCCTTATATTAAGCTAATGTAATTAACTTGCATTTAATCGTTTTCAAAGTTTTGTGTGCATACTTAATTTGTGTGCATTGCTTTTATGGTTACATAACAGCAAAGAATAAGAACTTACAGTTTTTTGTCTAGAGATTTCAAATAAAATTATAACAAAACTAGTAAAATGCAACAAATAAGGTCCAGAAAATGTATTTCTCCTGAATGTAGCCCACATAATACACAGGTTTTAAAAAACTGGCCTGGATAAAAACTCCTCTCATGGGTCTTCACAATGATTTTTTTGGATATAACACAAGCAACAGAATAACAAATAAGCAAGTAGGATTACAGCAAACTAAAAAGCTTCTGCACAGCAAAGAAAACCATCAACAAAAAGAAAAGGTAACCAAATGGAGGGGAGAAATTATTTGCAAATGATGTATCTGGTAGGGGTTAATATCCAAAATATATAAATTCATATAACTCAATAGCAAAACAAACAAACAAAAAACAACAAAACAAAACAAAAAAAACTCCACCCTATTAAGAAATAAAAGGCAAATATGGAAATTGTCCCCTCTGGAGTTCGACCAGGAGACCGAGAGTTCAATCGCTTGTTATGACGTGCACTGACCACCAGGGGGTGGTGTGGAACATGGCAGGCAACCAGTGACCATGGGGCACTGAGGGAGCAAAGGAAGGAGGAGGTAGGGAGACCGGGAGGCGGGGAACCTGATCGGTCCTGATTGCCAGCCAGGCCTGGGGACCCTACCCATGCATGAATTTCATGCACCGGGCCTCTAGTTTTAAAATAATGGGCAAAGGAACTGAATAGACATTTTCCAAAGGAGATATTCACATGGCCAAAAGGTACATGTAAAGGTGTTCAACATCACTAATCATTAGGGAAATACAAATCAAAACCACAATGAGATACCACCTCACACTTGTAAGAACGGCTATCATCAAGTGTTGGCGAGGATGTGGAGAAAAGAGAACCCTCGTGCACTGTTGGTGGGACTGCACGTTGGTGCAGCCACTAAGGAAAACAGAAGGGAGGCTCCTCAAAAATTAAAAGTAGAGCTACTTATGACCCAGCTATTCTACTCTGGGTATTTATCAGAAGAAAATGAAAACACTAACTCAAAAAGAGCCATGCACCCCCTGTGTTCACTGCAGTAGTATTTACAATAGCCAAGACATGGAAACAGCGTAAGAGTTTGTCAACAAATGAATAGATAAAGAATATGCATCTAGGTAGACACAATAAAATGCTACTCGGCCATAAAAAAGAAGAAAACTGCCATTTGTGACAACATCGATGGACCTCAAGGGCATTATGCTAAGTGAAATAAGTCAGAAAAACACAAATACTATATCATCTCACTTATATGTGGAATCTATAAATAAATAAATAAATAAATAAATAAATCTCAAAGAGAAAAAATATCATATTTGTGGTTACCAGAGGCTGGAGAAGAGGGTGGGGGAATTGGATAAAAGTGGTCCAAAGGTAGAGATTTCCGATTATCAGATAATAAGTCATGAGAATGTAATCTACAACATGGTGACTACAGTTAATACTTCTCTGTGGTATATTTGAAATAGCCCATGTACTCATCAATAGGAAAATGGCTAAACAAACTGTGGTCTACCAACACAATGAAATACTACCCAGAAACAGGAACAGATGACCTGCTGATACACCCAATAACAGGGATGAATCTCAAAAACACTATGCCGAGTGGAAGAAAAAAAGCCTTAACACAAAACAGTACAAAAGTACACACTGTAAGACTCTAGATATGCGATATTCTAGAATAGGCAAAGCTACTTTATTCTGAAAATATTCACAAGAGTGGTCGGTTCTAAGGGGCGGAGGTGGGGATTGGCTGGGAACAGGCAAGAGGGAACGTTCTAGAGCAGTGATGGCGAACCTATGACACGCGTGTCAGAGGTGACACGCGAACTCATTTTTTTGGTTGATTTTTCTTTGTTAAGTGGCATTTAAATATATAAAA